AGCCATGGCTGGAATGAAATGACTTTCTGGGGCCATCAGACTCCTGCTGATTATCAGGACCACGATGGACTCGCGTGCCTGGCCCTCTAGGGTGACCCCTTGCAAAATGGAGGCGATCGATACCTGCAGACTGTCAATTCATTTGTTATAAGGACACTCAGAAGTTGTTGCAATTCACTGGGACTGTTTGCAATGCTTGTCTTAACAGGACACTTAGAGATTGTTATCCTATACTAACACAAGAGTGAGAAAACATCAGTAGAGCCCTGCTGGATCAGACCAGTGGTCCCTCTAGTCCAGCATCCTGTCTCACACAGTGGCCAACCAGTTCCTCTGGAGGGCCAGCAACAGGGCAGAGAGGCCGAGGCCTTTATAAAAAGAACCCCGCTGGACCAGTCCAATGGTCTATCCAGTCCAGCATCCTGTCTCACACAATGGCCAACCAGTTCCTCTGGAGGACGAGCAAAAACAAAGAGGCCGAGGCCTTCATAAGAACATAAGCAGAGCCCTGCTGGATCAGACCAGTGGTCTCTCTAGTATAGCATCCTGTCTCACACAGTGGCCAACCAGTCCCTCTGGAGGGCCAGCAACAGGGCAGAGAGGCCGAGGCCTTCCCCTAATAAGAACGTCAGAAGAGCCTTGCTGGATCAGACCAGTGGTCCATCTAGTCCAGCATCCTGTCTCACACAGTGGCCAACCAGTTCATCTGGAGGTCCAACAGCAGGGCAGAGAGGCTGAGGCCTTCCCCTGATAAGAACACAAGAAGAGCCCTGCTGGATCAGACCAGTGGTCCATCTAGTCCAGCATCCTGTCTCACACAGTGGCCAGCACCAGCTCCTCTGAAGGCCAACAACAGGGCAGAGAGGCTGATGTTGCCCTCCTGCCTCTGGGATTCAGAGGATTAGTGCCTCTGAATGAGGAGGTTCCTCTCATTCGCCATGGCTAGTAGCCACTGGTAGACTTATTCTCCATTAATCCGTTTAATCCCCTTTTAACTCCGTCTATTCCTGTGGCCATCGCTACATCCCCTGGCAGCGAGTTCCACATTCTAATCACTCTGTGTGTAAAGTGGTCTTTCCCTCTGTCTGTCCTGAACCTCCTGCCCATCAGCTTCATCGGATGCCCTCGAGTTCTAGTCTTTGGGGAGAGGTAGAAAAAGTTCTCTTTATCAGCTCTCTCCACCCTAGGCATAATTTTAGAAACCATTATCATGTCATCTCCCCCAGTCATCTCTTTTCTGAACTGAAGACCAACACGGATACCCACCTGAATCCATATCTTAAAGAGGGTTCCTATTCCATCTCCCTTGAGTAAAAGGGGAACAAAGCAGTCCAAAAGAGACAGAGGGGCGGGAAGGCTCCTTTCAGCCTGAATTCCCACAGGTGGGGCCCATCCGCATATGGAAATTTGGACGGCACAGGTGCTGTTTCAGAGCCCCCGCTGTCCGGGGCATTTGGTCTCATTCCAGATCTGCGCTGTGAAGTGTTAGAAAACTGTGTTCCCGGGACAGGCTGTTCAGCCCGGGGGTGTCCAGCCATCCCAGCAGCGGCAGGAGTTTTTCTTGGCCTGGCGACATATCGCACGCTCTCTGAAAACATTGCCTTGGACAAATTTCTCACCGTGCAGAGGAAGTGTAAACTTCCTGTTCCAGAAAGGGGGGGGGGCAAGCAAAAGATCTCCTCCGAAACCATCACCTCCTGTCTTCTGGGAATGGAAGAAATTCACTCCAGGAACGAACGTCTAATTTGTGTTTACAGCTCTTCAGGGGAGCAGGGTGGAAATTCTCTTGCTCTGAAAATGCTCCATGCGCTCGCACATATGTTCACGTTCTCCGCAAGATGTTTACCCCCGGCGAATAAAATGTTGACTAAAGGAGGTGGGGAACGGCAGTTGCTGAGCTGGGGGGGGGACACGGATCCCTCGGGAGCGCTTTCCCTGATTCAATTTATTCTGGACCCGTTAGGCCCCTAAAATGCCAGCACCAATTTGGCCTGACTTCTGATTCCATAAGTTCTGCCAGTGACGGGGGGGGGGGGGACTCTGCACGGAGGCTGGGCTTTAGATGGTAAGAAAAGAAAAAGAAATCACAAGTCTCCAAAATTATTTACAAGGATTTGGACGGACAAAGCAGGAGAGGAGTGTTTTCCCTCAGAGAACTTTGATCAAGAAAACCCCATTGTGTCTCATTGTTCTTAAGACAAAGAAGAGGTTGTGTTGTGACTGGTGGGGGAGGAATGGGACTTTGTTCTAAGTGTGGTGGAGTGGAGAAAACACCCTACCGCCTCCGAAGAGTCCCCGGCCTTCATTCCAAACCATCATAAAATCAGGGTTTCCCATTCAATTCCCCTCTGTCAAGGACTGCGGACTAGGGGATGTGTGTGAATGGTTTCTTGGATTGTGTCTGCTTTGAAGCATAGATTGTATGCTCTACATCCTATTTTCATTTACAATCATCAAATGGAGACAGGGGAAGAAAGTCGATTATGCGTCTGGTCTGGGCCAGGAAGAATGAGGCTTGGGTTTACTGTTTCCTCTGTGGGGCAAGGGTGTAGACCTTCCACACCCAATTCTATGGAAGGCTTGGAGACCGGTTGTCTTCTTTTACCTTCTCTTTTAAGGCAGCTGTGGGGATTCTCTGTTGTCTGTTAACAAGGCGGAACCTGTCGATTCTTTGGTCTTTTATATATCTGGAGGATTCTTTGTGGGATAACAATGGGAGACTGCTGTCGCTTCCTGCAAGGGATTAGGATCTACACTTTTGAGATGAGGGGGCATACAGAGGAATTAATCTGCGGTCATGGGGATAACCGAGGTAGCTTTTTTGCAGGGTGGAGTAGGTAGTAAAAAAAAAATGTTGATGGTCCGGAGGTTTGATTTGGGTTTTTAATCATCACTAAGGAGGTCCATTTTCCAGGGGGAATTATTTCTATTTTACTTTCTTGGGAGGTGGGGGAGGAAGTCCATCTGTTGAAAAACACAGGGAAGAAAAAGAGTTTGGGCAGAATAAAAAGTGTTTGGTGCCCCTGGCATGCCCAGTCTTTTTAAAAGCTGTATACGAGAGGGGTTTTGACACCCTCTCCGATCCTCTGTGGGTGACAAATGGGTCTTTTGGACACCCAATTTAGAGGGATTTGGGGATGGAGCTTTTGGGAACATGACAAGGTAACACAGATATCAAATATGAAAAAGACTGAAGGGGGCTGTTTTCTTACCAAAAACAATGTGGAGGGGGGAGGTGGGCTTAAAAGAGGTGCCTTAAAATTCCTGGTTGCTCTGAAGAACAGACCTACATATATAGCATTTACTCAAAATGCGAGATTAGGTTTTTCACAGGTATGCCATAAAAAGGAGGGGGGTCACCTTACATTTGCATGCAAATTGCAATTATGTCAAATTTTGTGTGTGTGTGTGTGATTTTTTTAAGGGAGTTGTATATATTCAGGGATGCCTTTCTTTTAAATAAATACGGTATCTATCATCTCCCAGAATCTGGATTAAAGATTTCTAGTTTGTAAAGGGTGGGTGGGATTTGAATCAGAAACAAACATTCCCCCCCCCAAAAAACAGGGAAGTTAGAACTTAAATTTATATGACTTTTTAAACAAATTACATAGCCTTTATGGAGGGGGGTCAAATCCATATGAGTTTCACACCACCACCCCCTTACTCTGGGGACATATTGGGAGGGAGAATAGAAAATTTCCTCTGCCTAGAAGGGGGGGACTAGTTTTACTGTAACATGTAAGCAGATTCTTTTGTTCTCTTGCTTTCTGCTTTTATATAAAAATACTGCTTAAAGGGGGCAAACCCCACCTCTCTTAGATCTCCCTTGGATCCGTGCCTTTTATTTTACCGGACTCTTCTCCCAAAGATAAATTATTTGTTTTTTTAAAAACTAACAACCCCTCCCCCAAAAAAGATTAATTGACAAAAGAAACATTTTAGCTGAGACTACTAGAAAGTTAAAAAAAATGGGGGGGGGGAGTTTTGGAGGGGAATGTAAGGAGTGCCATTTTAAAAGGGGGGTTCTCTCCTTTCCATGCATGAATCCTTCATCTTCTTAACACTGGCATGCTTAAATGGGGGGGGGGGGATTGCAAGCCAATCAGTCTTAAACCCAAAATATAGCATATCAAGTTGGACAACAGGGGGAAAAAATGTTTGAAAGCCTACCGTCTCTGGAGAGTAAAATCAAATGTACAGCTCATTGGTGGGGAAGGGGGAGAGGGTGGGAGGCATACTGAATTTGGTCCAGCACCCCACTCCCAAAAACACCATTCTAGAATTAAAACCTCCTCATCTGTCTTTTTATTAATGGGGTTGTCTCTGCAAATATACCCCTCCCCACAATGCGTCTGTAGGTAGACAAAGTCTTTGACACCCACCCACCCTTCTCGTTTTTGTGGGTGGTTTCCAATCTTTTAAAAAGAGTGCGGGAGGATTATATCCATCCCCTAAAGGCATTTAAAAGAGAGAGCAGAGCCACTTAGAGAATAAAAAATGTTTTGTTTAGAGAGAAACTCATCACTCTTTGTTGATGGCAAAAGGGTTGCAATTCTTTGGTCTGCTTTTACGGAATGTTTGGAGGGCACCATTGAGAGTTCTTTCCGTCTCTTCTTTTTCTTAAAAAAAAGAAAAAAGCCTTTCCTTTTGGTTCCATTTGAAATTTTTTACTGAGACTTTTCTTCCGAGTATTTTTTTTTGATTGCTCCAAAAATAAACAAAAAAAGATCCCTTTTTTGCCATTAGAGAAGATAAATCTTAATCCTTTTCTTTTAACGATAGCTTTCCGCCCTTGGCACCCTGAAAACGTCCGTAAAACTGCCGTCAACCATCGCCTCCGTATGCCTGGCATCCTCTCCACCTCTCTCCCCTTCCTCTCCTTCACACCATCAGTTCTCACCACCATCTGCCTGCCACCTTTCCCCACTTCTTAAAAGCAAAAGCAAATTAAGAGATATATCTATATACAGATTAGAGAGTCCAAGAGTTCTACTTACACATCAGAGAATCCACCCGCAGGAGAGCCAAACCGAGTAAGAACACTTTCATCATATTGCAAAAAGCAAAAAAAAAAAAAAAAGAAGGGAAAGACTTTAAAAGGGGGGGGGGTACCCCTCCTCTTTAAGGAACCCTTTTTCCTGCCTTCCCAATGGTTCTTTTCTGTATTCCCCCCCCCCCAAAAAAAGTCTCCTTTGAAGTATGTTCTTATGAGCACTGGGTGGGGTGAGGCCGGCCTCCTTTTTGGTTTTTACCCCCAGCTTTCCCTTTCAAGAAAAAAAAGAGAGAGCCAAATATAAAGCACTAAAGGAGGGATTTCCTAAGCTAGTCTGTGCTGTTCAAACTTGACAAGTTGCTTAATACCTCTTTTTCTCCCCGCCCCGCCCTGCCTTTCTCCGCCCCTCTGGGCTTTTTTTTGGGGGGGGATGAGGTTGAAATTAACAAGCCTTTTGCTCAAATGAGATACCCCCCACTCCTCTTGCAACGCATCTCAGGGGGGAGCCCAAGAACGAAGAGCTCCCCCCCCCCATATTTCTGATCTCCACCCCCCCCAGTTTTGACCTCCTTTTGCCTGTTGCTCAATCACCAGTCTGAAAAGATCACTTCTGACTCAGGGTAGTAAATACCTCCTCAGCTATTTGGCTGGACTGTTACTGGATGGTTTCTTTTTGTGTTTGTTAGTTTTAAATGGGGGGGGGGACCTTTCCCCTCTCTTCAAAATTGCTTTTTTGACTGCCCGGGTGGGTAGGTTGCATTTGGGCTTTTTGGGGGCTGGGGGAATGGTGTTCTTTTCAAAAGCACTTTAAAAAGGTTTTCCCCCCCACCCCACCCACCTTCTCCAGGCTGAAGGAAGCAATGGAAGAGAAGTCAGCCCACCCCACCCCACCCCACCTCCCTCCATCCCAATCAGCCAGATGATCCAAGCGTCTGCACTCGTCCTGAGCTGGCCCAGGAGCCAAGATCTTTTATGGGCATGATAGCATTCATATGTCTAACTCCAGATTTTTATTTTATTTTTATTTGGGGGGGGGGGGTTGACTCAGCTATACCCTGATGCTGGGGAAGATTGAAGGTCAAAGAAGAAGGGGACGGCAAAGGATGAGATGGCTGGACAGTGTTATCGAGGCAAGGAACATGAAGGTAAGCAAACTCCGGAGCATGACGGAAGACAGGCGGGCCTGGCGCGATGTGGTCCATGGGGTCGCGAAGAGTCAGACTCGACTGTGCGACTGAACAACAACAGCTATACCAGCTTTGGAGTTACACAGGGCTTCTCAGCAAGAGTAGGGGCCGCGGTGGCTCAGCGGTTAAAATGCCGAGCTGCGGACCGGAAGGTCGGTAGCTCGGCAATTCGAGACCCTAGTGCCACGTGATGCGGTCCCATCTCTGGCCCCAGCTCCTGCCAACCTAGCAGTCCGAAAGCAAGAAACTGCAAATAGATAAATAGGTACCGCTTCGGTGGGAAGGTAACAGCGTTCCGTGCGCCTCGGCATTTAGTCACGCCAGCCACATGACCCTGGGGAAAGTCTTCGGACAGTGCTGGCTCTTCGGCTTAGAAATGGGGATGATCAAAAAAAACCCAGAGTCGGATTCGGCTGGCTTCGAGCAAGGGAAACCTTTACCTCTCAGAAAGTGCCACGGAAGGATTCTGTGTATGTCAGAAGCTTTCGCATCAGGGTGCTTCATCTGTCCTGAGAACTTTTTTATTTCTTTAGTTGCTGTAGATTTTCCGGGTTGTGTGGCCGTGGTCTTGGCATTTCTTATTTCTGCCCTTCTCCTTAACCTGCGCAGCCATCAGCATTCATTTCTCCTTGACAAAGCATAAGGGAGAACAGATTTTCCAAGGGCTTTCTTGAGAATGGAGCTGGGACTCTCATTGACTCCCGAAAGCTTATACCGTGAAAATCTTTTGAGTCCCGTGGCACCATTACACTTCTTCATGCACGCACACAAAACGTTATACTGTGAACAAAAACTTTGGTGGTCTTTAAGGTACCACTGGCCTCCAACTGCGTTCTGCTGCTTCAGACCAAAGCAGCAAGAAGAAGAGGAGGAGGAGGAGGAAGAAGAAGAAGAGATTGGATTTATACCCCACCCTTCACTCAGAGTCTCAGAGCGGCTTACAATCTCCTTTCCATTCCTCACCCCACGACAGACACCCTGTGAGGTAGGTGGAGCTGAGAGAGCTCTCTCGAGAACTGCCCTTGAGAGAACAGCTCTGAGAGAACTTGTGACTGACCCAAGGTCACACCAGCAGCTGCAAGTGGAAGACTGGGGAATCAAACCCGGTTCTCCCAGATTAGAGTCCACATATTTAATCAGTACACCAAACTGGCCACCCACCTGCATCTATCGGAAGACGTGTGCGTGCACACGAAAGCTGATACCCAAAATAAAACTTATTTGGTCTTCAAGGTGCCACTGGACTCCACCTGCATCTACCTTCCTGAAAATCTTGTAGGTTTTTAAGGTGCTACTGGACTTGAATTCAACACATTATTCTATGTAAGCTTTTCGAAATTATTTGTGCTTTCTTCAGAGCCAGTTTGGTGTAGTGGTTAAGTGTGCGGACTCTAATCTGGGAGAACTGGGTTTGATTCCCCACTCCTCCACTTGCACCTGCTGATGTGACCTTGGGTCAGTCACAAGCTCTGGCACAGCTGTCCTTGAAAAAGAGCAGTTTGTGTCAAGAGCTCTCTCAGCCCCACCCACCTCACAGGGTGTCTGTTGTGGGGAGGGGAAGGGAAAGGAGATTGTGAGCCGCTCTGAGACTTCAAGTGAAGGGCGGGGAATAAATCCAATCTCTTCTTCTTCTTCTTCTTCTTCTTCTTCTTCTTCTTCTTCTTCTTCTTCTTCTTCTTCTTCTTCTTCTTCTTCTTCTTCTTCTTCTTCTTCTTCTTCTTCTTCTTCTTCTTCTTCTGTCTTGCCAACTGACCGCACACTGCTGTGCTGTTGCTCCTTCTCGGTATAAAATCAGGTTGTTTTTGAGGCAAAACGTAGCTGCCAAAAGAATGTACTATTCAGTCTGGCCTTGTTAGGGGAAATATATCCTGCTTGAGCTACCTAGAAGGGAGATGTCCTGACAGTCCAAGGAAGGACTAAATTACATGCAACCTTAGCCCATCGCCCCAAAACACTGATCACTGTGATATGCCTTAGAAATGAAAAACTGGACAAATGCTTCGCTGTTAGATCCTCAGGGATTTGCTCTGGCGTGGGAACGAGACCTTGTTTTCGTAGGAGGCCATGGACTTGAGTCACTCACCGAACCAGACGCCAGGTCAGGGTTGTACAGAGTTGCAACGGGCAATCTTCTCTGAAGGCGGATAATTCAACTGTGCCTCTGCATCATGTGTGGCTGGATGATCCACTTACACCTCTCGGTAGCAGAAATACTGCCACCTGTGTGAGCTGAACGGAAGGCGCAGTAAATCATACTGAGACACAGCGGGCACCCTCCTCTGAATAGGGGTCATTCTGCTATACCTCTCCATGTGGAGTTTTTGTGTGTGCTTTTTGTTCATTTCTATTCCACCTTTCTCTCCACTGGGGCCTCAATGCAGCTCACTTTATTCTCCTCTCATCTGCTTTATCCTCACAACAACCCTGCGAGGTAGGTTCGTCTGAGCAAGTGTCACCGGCCCAAGGTCATCCAGCAAGCTTCCATGGTAGAACGGAGATTTGAACCTGGGTCCCACAGACCCTAGGCTGACATTCTACACAAGACTTATCAGGCCCGATAACGAAACATGTCAGAGCTCAGGGCGGACCAGAGAACGATGCAGAGTTGCAACGGGCACCTCTTCGGAGGGTAATCCTCTGCAGGGGGATACTTCTGGGATTGCAGAAGCTTTTACTTATTTGATGGATCTCTTTCTCCAAGCACACTGTTTTGAAATCCCTTCATGAAGACCCTGAAGGCTGAAGGAAGAACAACCATGGACTCACCCACGAGAGATCCCAAAAGGTGAAAGAACATACACAAGAGAGCCCTGTGGATTCTGAGGGGTGCGATGGCTCGGGTGAGGGGCATAGAGGCGCAGGGCTGTTTGCAAAACGCACCTCGGCCAACAGAGACCCGGCTCCGAGAATCCTGCCTATGCAAAATATCCAAGAAACGTTTACTTTTCCACCGCTTCATTTTGTTATTACCTTGGCTTCCTCCTCCGAACAGGACGAGCCCTTCCGCCGAAGGTCTCCACAATCCCATAAAACTGAATCGTAAGGCCGAACGGTTTCCGACGCGGTCCAAGACAATAACTGCTTTTCAAGGCACACGTTAAAACGCTTTGACACAGATCGGCTCCCTGATGGCATTACCAGGATTGTCCGTTTAACACGCGCGCCTAAGTGCTTTGCGGTTTAGGCGTTCCAGAGGCAGTGGCCCCGATCCAGTGAAGACCACCCTTCGCAGCACTGTACAGAATCCTGTTGTGGAGCTATCAGGGTCGCAGGGTGCTTATTTAGCCGATAATGGCACAATCCTATTTTGAGTTATTCCAGTCTCAGCCCATCAAAATCAGCGGGCTTAAGACTGGAGTAACTCTGCAAAAGATTGCACAGCAAGGAAAAAGTCAGTTCTCCAGTGCTCTCTTTTCACAGTGGAATAAAGGAACCTGTTTGTGAGAGGGTAAATAACCAGCTCAGAGGCTTGATGTGGGCAGCAGGTCAGGCAAAGCAGCATGCTCCTCTTTGGTCCTGAATTTGCCGCCCAGCGCCGGTGTGCTCATTCAGCCAATGATTGCTGCAGCAAGGAAAGAACGAAAACTGGAGAGGTGCACCAAGGCCCTGTTGCAGCTAGCAAGCTCTTTGTGCGACAGCTGTGAACAGGAGCAGTCTATCTGAAGAGGGAGGATTTTAGCAGTAGTACCCATAAAGGTCCATGTCCATTCTGAATTTGCCCCAGTGCATGTGCCAGGTGGTTAGCACAGACTCCAAAGCCCTCCGTTTTTTCCTCTCCCCCCCAGCAGCTGACATTCAGAGGTAGTCAGAGGTACATGGAGGTTCCATGCAGCCGCAGTAGTTGATAGACACAGATGGACCAGTCCCTCCATTCCGAATCCTT